AGAGTACCAGAAATGCTTCCATGCTCCGCAGATCTCTTCTAGTCCTCTCCTCTCACTTTTTACTCTGAACTGCTATGTCAAGACCTCTGCTGGTTACCTCCTTGATTGACCCGACAAGTCTTGCAAGCTCCGCCCCTGCCATGCTGCTCTGTATCCCAAGAAGAAAAAGATCTCTTCCTCTGTTTCCCAAGTTACATGAAATATCAGACCCTGATTTTAGCAAAGCAGTAAAGACTTGATTAGAGCGAGAGGGAAATATTTTAAATTACATATTAGATAGCACTGTGCCCAGAGTCCTTTGACCACAGGTTATCCTGATAGCTTTTTTCTCCTTATCCTCCTTCTACTGCCATTTTTTTTTTCCCCTGAAATATTGAGAGTAAGTTGCAGGCATAATACTCCTTCCCTCGTGGCTTAAACGGTAAAGAATTCACCTGCAAAGCAGGAGACCTGAGTTCGATCACTGGGTCTGGAAGATCCCTTGGAGAAGGGAATGGCAGCCCACTCCAGTATTCTTGCCTGGAGAATTCCATGGACAGAGGAGCCTGGCGGGCTACAGTCCATGGGGTCACAAAGTCAGACACTGAGCGACTACCACTTTCATTTTTCACTAGTACTTTAGTGGGTATTTTCTTAAGAATAAGGACATTCAGAGTACAATCATCAAAACCAGTAAATTAAAACTGATACACTGCTATGACCTAATCTACAGACTTTATTTGAATTTTATGGCAAAAGAAAAAAATCTGGTCTGGGATTCAATCTAGGAACACATATAATATTTATGTTTCTTAATCTCCTTTAGTCTGGATTGGTTCTCTAGTTCCCCAGTTCATGGGGTCCAGAGTTAGACACAATTGAAGCAACTTAGCACACACACATGTATACACATTGGAAAAATCCAGAACAGCTTGGTAACTCTATCACAGCAACTTCTAAAATACAAGTTTAAAGAAGAGAGAGTTTCAGTATTACACAAACTACCCACAAGAACAGAAGAGGAAACACTGCCTAAATAACTTTATGATGCTAGCATACTCTTGTTTTTAAATCCCTTTATTTTGCATATTTCTTCTAGCAATTTCCTGGATTGACATTTTTCTTGTTTTAATTGAAGTATAGTTGGTTTACTATGTTGTACTAGTTTTTCTGCAGAGCAAATTGATTCAGTTATATATGTATATTTATGCTGTGCTGTGCTTAGTCGCTCGGTTGTGTTGTTCATCTATTTTATATATAGGAATGTGAAACTAATCCCCAAGTCCTAATTTATCCCTTTCCTACCCATTTCCTCTTTGGACTCTTTGTGACCCCATGGACTGTAGCTCTCCAGGCTCCTCTGTCCATGGGGATTCTCCAGGCAAGAATACTGAAGATGTATATATATATATATTCTTTTACATATTCTTTTCTATTATATATATTGAATATAGTTTCTTGTGCTTATACAGTAGGTCCAGGTTGTTTATCTATTTTAGATATAGAAAGTGAAAGTGAAAGTCACTCAGTCGTGTCCCACTCTTTGCGACCCCATGGACTATACAGTCCATGGAATTCTCTAGGCCAGAATACTGGAGTGGGTAGCCTATCCCTTCTCCAGGGGATCTTCCCAACCCAAGAGTGGAACCGGCGTCTCCTGCATTGCAGGCGGATTCTTTACCAACTGAGCTATCAGGGAAGCCCCTTTATATATAGAAGTGTGTAATTAATCTCCAACTCCTAATTTATCCCTCTCCTACCCATTTCCTCTGTGCAAACTGTAACACTGCTTTCTATGTCTATGGGCCTGTTTCTGTCTTGTAGACAAGTTTACATGTATTAACTTTTTGGATTCCACATATAAGTGATATCATGTATTTGTCTTTCTCTGTCTGACTTACTTCACTTAATATGATAATCTCTAGGTCCATTCATGTTGCTACAAATGGTATTATTTCATCCTTTTTGAAAAATGGGTGAGTAGTATTCATTTATATACATATATATGCCACATTTTCTTTATCCATCCGTTGATGGATACTCAGGCTGCTTCTACGTCTTGGCTATTGTACATATTGCTGTTATGAACACTGGCTAGCATAACCTTGATAATCAATTGGACAAGTAAAATATGAGAGGAAAATTGCAGATCATCATCACTCAATGTCTAGATCAAAAAAATTCTAAATAAAATTTTAGCAAACCAAATCCAACAATATCTAAAAATGATAATACATCATGGCCAAGGTGATTTGAATCACGAATTCGTTTATTTTTTTCTTCTAGTTTTACTGAGATATAATTGACACATAGCACTGTATCTAAATGAGGAATTTAATGTTCATTTTAGCACTAGAAAATCAACAGTTTGTAACTTGACAGATTAGAAGATCAAATGAGAAAAATCATATGATCAGCTGAATAGATGAGAAGGCTTCTAATAAATTTGGATATTCATTCATGATAAAGCCTCTTAGCAAATTAGAACTATGACCAACCTTTTGGAAAGTGATAAATGAGTTTATGAGAAAACATACAGCAAATAGTTTTCATGCTGAGAAACTACTGAGATATCCCCTTAAGAGAGTGAACACAGGAAGAGTGCCTACTATCAACACTTATTCACTGCCTCCCAAGAGGTTCTAGCTAATCCAGTTGAGCAGGAAAAATAGAAAATGGGCACTGAAAAGAAGGTGAGATGACTGACTATTGTTTTCTGGGTTCTTTTAATGTTTTAGCAGAGTTGCTTGGCTTGCGGGGTCTTAGTTTCCGAACTAGGGATTGAACCTGGGCCTTTGCAATAAATGAAACCACTGAGTCCTAACCGCTGGATCTCCAGGGAATTCCCTGATCGACTATGTTTTATTTAGTTATTTTTGGCTGTACTGGGTCTTTATGGCTGCAGGGACTTTCTCTAGTTGTGGTGAGTGGGGGTTACTCTCTCATTGCAGTGCCTAGGGCTTCTCGTTGCGGTGGCTTCTCTTGTTGTGGAACATGGGCTCCACAATCCACGGGCTTCAGCAGTTGCGGCCTGGGGGCTCTGGAATACAGGCTCAGTAGTTGTGGCGCGTGGGCTTAGCTGCTTCAAGGCATGTGGGATCTTCCCAGACCAGGGATTGAACCTGTGTCCATTGCATTGCAAGGTGGATTCTTTACCACTGAGCCATCAGGGAAGCCTATGTTTTTAAAAAAGTGTGGAAAAATCATTAGAAGAATAAGGAAGTGTGTCCATTTTCTGGTTGCACAAATCTATGTGTGCAAAGTAATTGTACTTATACTATCAAACGGAAAAAATTTTCAGTTTACTTTTGACTGCGCTGGGTCTTTGTTGTTGCACACAGGTTTTTCTGTGGTTGAGGCAAGTAGGGGCTACTCTTCGGTGGATGCACAGTCTTCTCATTGCGGTGGCTGCTCTAGTTGCAGAGCACGGGGCTCTAGGCAAGCCGGCTCAGTAGTTGGAACTCCCCGACTACAGCGCAGGCTCCGCAGTTGTGGCCCAAAGGCTTAGCTGCTCTGTGGCATGTGGGATCTTCCCGGACCAAGGATTGTCCCCTGCACTGGCAGGCGGATTCTTAGCCACAGTGCCACCAAGGATGTCCCCCCAAATTATTTTTTGAAGATACTGTCTAAAACTGCCTCAAAATTTAGGGACATAGGACTATCTGACAACAGGTGCGAGATCCTTTGGGAAAATTGTATATAACTGTATTGTGAGACATTGAAGAAAATGTAATTAAGTATAGGATATATCATGTGTCAGGTCAGGGCTGGACATCTTCCCCTGCTTGGACTGGGGAGTGCCTTAAAGAGCGTAGGGAGAGAAAGTTGGGGATTATAGATTGCAGATTACAGAAGCTGTAATCTCATAGAGATGTCATTGTCTCCAAACTGATCTACAGATACTTGCAGCACAAATGAAAAAAGAAAGAAAAAAGTCTGAAAATAGCAAACGTTGGAAAAACTTAGAAAACTAGGAAAAGAAGCCTGAGAAGAACACACATACTTTTGTTCGTTAGTAAGGTGCATAACAAATCATCCCAAAACTCAGCTGCATAAAATAACCAGACTCACAGATCCTGAGAGCCCGGAATCCGGACAGGGGATATGTTGTTCCATTCATTTTCAACTGACTTGAAGGTTGGGGTTGGAATCCTCCGAAGGTTCAGTCTGCGGCTGATGGTAGGAGACGCCACTAACTCGGGGGTTCCTTAGGCATTCCTACCTCCCTCCCTTCTTCCCTCCCTCTCCTCCTTCATCTCTTTCTCTCCCGGTTTTAAAACGCGGCTTCCGAGAGTTTCAAGGTCTGCGGGTTCCGATCACAGGTCTTAGACCGGCTGAGCTGCAGAAACCTCGATTACCATAATTACCATAAAAAAGCGGGCCTGGGAAAAGTATCAAGACAGTCGTACCCCTTTGAGAGAAACCAAACGGAGCCGCCTCCGGACCGATCATCCCAAGCGGCCCTGAGGTGCCCCTCGGGGAATGTGTCCGAATCTGCCTCCGGATCTTCGCGCCATCCTCGTTTAGGTGCGCAGACAGCTCTTAGCCGGTCCCCAGCGGCGACTGGGCTTTAAGTCCAGGGGACAGCGGTGCGGCTGGAACGAGGCGAGCAGAGCTGGAGAGAGTCCCGAGTAGAAAACCTGATACTCCTTCGGCTGTGATGAGCCAAAGAAAGGACAGTCGAGCAAACGCTCAGGGTGGCTCCGGGCGCGTGGGGACACTGCCTGACAAGCTGATTGGCTGCCGCGCTAGCAGGCGGGAACGGCCGCTGGCGGATGGGGACGCCGAGCCCGGAAGAACCGCGACCTAGACCAGAAAGCGGACCTCGCCAGTTTCGTTTTCTTTGCTTTAAGTGAGCTTCGTTCTTTTAGCCCTATCGTGCATAGTATCTTCGAAAGTACACATAAGCAGGCACAGAGGAGAAATCTCCCGCCACCTCTCAGACACTCACGTGTTTGAAGCCCGGGCGCTTCGCTCGCAAAGTTTCGAGGGGCGGAGGCGGCGGCGTCACCACTGGCCGGATGTGCCAACTCGCCCAGCGTTTACCAGCTCGCCTTTCAAACTGGGAACAACAAGGATCCTGCGAACTTCTGAGCAGCGCACCTGGGTAAGTTTGTCGCCCCCGCCGCCCTGCCCCCGCAGTTGCCAAACGGGCTTCCCTGGTGGTTCAGTTGGTAAAGAATCCGCCTGCAATGCAGGAGACCCGGGTTCGATGCCTGGGTTGGGAAAATCCGCTGGAGCAGGGATAGGCTACCCACTCCAGTATTCTTGGGCTTCCCTTGTGGAGACCTGGGTTCGATCCCTGGGTTGGGAAGATCCCCTGGAGGAAGAAATGGCAACCCATTCCAATGTTCTTGCCTGGGAAATCCCATGGACAGAGGAGCCTGGCGGGCTACAGTCCAGAGGGTCACACAGAGTTGGACACGACTGAGCACAGCAACACATAATAAACTTCAAGTGTGAAAGTGCTGGTCGCTCAGTCATGTCTTTGCGACCCCAGGGCTATAGCCCGCCAGGCTCCTCTGTTCATGGGACTTTCCAGGCAAGAATACTCGAGTCGGTTGTCACTCCCTTCTCCAGGGGATCTTCCTGACCTGATCAAACCCAGGTCTCCTGCATTACAGGCAGATTTCTTACACTCTGAGCTCCTAGGGAACTCAAAGAACAAATATAAAAAACTGTTCTGCTATCCCCAATTTTTGTTACCCCATTACCTCAAATAGACAACTGTTGGTGTCTTGCCATAGTTACTTCAAGCTTTTAAAAAAACGAGTAACTAAAATATTGTAGATAAATTTGAAGTTCTCTTTGCCTTCTCTTTCCTCTCTCTTCATTTTTCTCTTCTTATCTCAGAGGCAACCAACATTCTGAGTTTACGGTATATCTTTTTAATATTTTTAACACAGTTTTACACAAGCACACATCCAGGAATAATATGTACCACTGTGATGTGTGCATTTTTAGCTTGTTTAAGTGGTATACTTTTGTGTGTATATTTCTGCAACTTGATTTTTTAAACTCTGTTCTCATATCTATGTCATTGTATGTGTTTCAGTTTATTCTCTTAAAGTGGCTCACAGCATTCCTTTCAGTAAATATTACCATTATTTCCTTATTCTATTATTGATAGGCTATTTCGAAAACTTGGTGTTACAAATAGTGCTTAAAAAAAAAAAGACTGTTCCTACCACCTTACATACATGGTTTCTCCATTCATCAGTTGAAAAACATCTTGGTTGCTTCCAAATTTTTGTAATCATGAGCAAAGCTACTATGAACATTCATGTGCAGGGTTTTTTGTTTTTAGAGTTTTATTTTTTTTTCCATTTATTTTTATTAGTTGGAGGCTAATTACTTTACAACATTGCAGTGGTTTTTGTCATACATTGAAATGAATTAGCCATGGATTTACATGTATTCCCCGTCCCGGTCCCCCCTCCCACCTCCCACTCCACCCGATCGATCCCTCTGGGTCTTCCCAGTGCACCAGGCCCAAGCACTTGTCTCATGCTTCCAACCTGGGCTGGTGATCTGTTTCACCCTAGATAATATACATGTTTCGATGCTGTTCTCTTGAAACATCCCACCCTCGCCTTCTCCCACAGAGTCCACAAGTCTGTTCTATACATCCGAGTCTCTTTTTCTGTTTTGCATATAGGGTTATCGTTAACATCTTTCTAAATTCCATATATACGTGTTAGTATACTGTAATGGTCTTTATCTTTCTGGCTTACTTCGCTCTGTATAATGGGCTCCAGTTTCATCCATCAGAACTGATTCAAATGAATTCTTTATAATGGCTGAGTAATATTCCATGGTGTATATGTACCACAGCTTCCTCATCCATTCGTCTGCTGATGGGCATCTAGGTTGCTTCCGTGTCCTGGCTATTATAAACAGTGCTGCGATGAACATTGGGGTGCACATGTCTCTTTCAGATCTGGTTTCCTCAGCGTGTATGCCCAGAAGTGGGATTGCTGGGTCATATGGCAGTTCTATTTCCAGCTTTTTGAGAAATCTCCACACTGTTTTCCATAGTGGCTGTACTAATCTGCATTCCCACCAACAGTGTAAGAGGGTTCCCTTTTCTCCACACCCTCTCCAGCATTTATTGCTTGTAGACTTTTGGATAGCAGCCATCCTGACTGGCGTGTAATGGCACCTCATTGTGGTTTTGATTTGCATTTCTCTGATAATGAGTGATGTTGAGCATCTTTTCATGTGTTTGTTAGCCATCTGTATGTCTTCCTTGGAGAAATGTCTGTTTAGTTCTTTGGCCCATTTCTTGATTGGGTCATTTATTTTTCTGGAGTTGAGCTGGAGGAGTTGCTTGTATATTTTTGAGATTAATCCTTTGTCTGTTGCTTCGTTTGCTATTATTTTCTCCCAATCTGAGGGCTGTCTTTTCACCTTGCTTATAGTTTCCTTTGTTGTGCAAAAGCTTTTAAGTTTCATTAGGTCCCATTTGTTTATTTTTGCTTTTGTTTCTAAAATTCTGGGATGTGGGTCATAGAGGATCCTGCTGTGATTTATGTCGGAGAGTGTTTTGCCTATGTTCTCCTCTCGGAGTTTTATAGTTTCTGGTCTTACATTTAGATCTTTAATCCATTTTGAGTTTATTTTTGTGTATGGTGTTAGAAAGTGTTCTAGTTTCATTCTTTTACAGGTGGTTGACCAGTTTTCCCAGCACCACTTGTTAAAGAGGTTGTCTTTTTTCCATTGTATATCCTTGCCTCCTTTGTCGAAGAAAAGGTGACCATAACCTTATCTTCGACATGTGCAGGTTTTTGAGGACAGGTATTCAACTCTTTTGGGTCTTGGAAGCATGGAGTCTTAACCACCACTGAACTTCCATGGAAATCCATGGCTCACAGCAAAATAGAGAGGAAAGTACAGAGATTTCCCATATATCCCTTGCCCCTACTTTGGCATTACCTTCCTGTCATCAACACCCACCCCCCACCTACCCACCCGGCAACACAGTGGTACATTTGTTACAGTTGATGAACTTCCATTGAAAGATCATGATCACTCAAAGTCCATAGCTTACTTCACGGTTCCCTCTTGGTGTACATTCTACAGTTTGGACAAATGTATAATGACATGACATGCATCCACAACTACACTGTTAAACAGAGTATTCCCACTGCCTCAAAATCCTCTGTTCTCTACCTCTTTATCCTTCCCTTCCCACAACTCCTGAAAACCACTGATCTTTTCACTGTCTCCACAGTTTTGCCTTTTCCAGAATGTCATGTAATTAAAATCATACAGCATGTCCTTTCACATTGTCTTCTGTCACTTTGTAATATGCATTTAAATTTCCTTTTTGTCTTTCCTGACTTGATGGCTCATTTCTTTTCAGCGTAGATGATAAACCACTGTCTGGGTGTACCACAGTTTATTCATTCACTCACATGTTGAAGGATATTGACTGCTTCCAAGTTTGGGAAGTTATGAATAAAGCTGCTAGAAACATCAGTGTACAGGTGTTTGCACGTTGCTCTCTGTTTTAATCTAGGTTGAGAAGCAATTTGTCATAAACTCGAAGTGAGTGGCTAGTTTTGGTTTCTATCTATTGGGTTAGGGAGGAAGAAAAACGGTTCAAATAATGGACTTGAGTTTCCATCAAATACCAGGTCCTTCAATTTATTTCTAAATATCTCTCAACTGTTTGTTTCTCTTCATATCCACAGTCTCTAGTACACACCACCATCTTTTCTCATTGGACTATTGAAATAACATCCCCAAAGTTCTCTTCCACAACTACTCTAGTCTCTTCCAATCCATTCTCCACACTGAAGCTAGAGGGGACTTTGTAAAAAAAAAAAAGTATACGCACACACACACACACACACACACACACCGAGTACTTCTGATGCTATGCCTTCCTGCTAGAAATCCTCCAGTGGCTTCCCATTACCTTCAGGATAAAGTCCGAGTCCTTAAAGGGGGCTGCCAGCCAATGTACAGGTGACTCTTGATCCCCTTTCCAGCCGCATTTCCTCCCTCTCCATCCCTGCATCTCAGTGTTTCAGACAGTCCGCCCTTTGAATCTGACATATTCCTTCCTACTTCCTTCTGGAAAGTTTTTTCCACCCTTTTTCACCTAATTAACTCTTCAGCTCATTTACACTCTTCAGATCTTAATTCAAAATATTACTTTTTCTAGAAAGCCTTCTCAGAACCCATCCCCCTTCCAACTGCCATATAAGGACAGTTTCCATTCTAAGCATCCCTGGCATTCTGAACTATCATTTGTTTAACAGTGAGCTTCGGTAAGTAATGAGTATCTTGAGAGCAGGGACCGTGTTTGTTTTGTTCACCACTGTCTACTCTGGATTTAGCACAGTGATTGGCAAATAATAGATGTCCACTAAACAGCTGTTAAGTAAATGCAGTATTGCTTATTATTAAAAATTGGGAGCAAGGGAAATGTTAACAATCGAGAAATGTCCAGTTCATTAATATTGTATGTACTTGATGAAAAGTTTTATTGTCTTTAAGACATATAATTAGAAATATAATGACTTCAAAGGTTTACAGAAGTGTTCATGATAAAAGCAGAATGCAAAACTCTTCATCTGACACTTACAATCTGTTAAAAAAATCTGTAATATTATGAAGATCATAAGAGATAAAGGAAAAATAGGTGAAAGAATTATTGAGTGTCATAATGTTCATGAAATATATGACAATACTGAATTTTGTAGCAGGCCATAGCTTTTCATGTGTCAAACACTTTATATCTAATAATGTAGAAATTATATGATTTTGAAGTTTAAAAAAGCTCTCCAGTAAACACAATGGAGCCAGGCACTTAAAAGTTTTCCTTGTTATAACAGCCCTGATACTTTTATTCTGTTATTGATTTATCTGAGCTCTCAAATTTTAAATCAAACCAATTTTGCTTTTCTGCCTATTGAAAAAGAAATCTACCAGACATTTCCCTTTATTGGTTTTCTTTTAGGTCTTAAAAGGAGAAGAAAATATTAGGAGTTCTGAAGCTTTCCATGCCATATAAAATGATCCAGGCTTACTAGATGATAGAAGGCAGTTGCTGATACGATATCAGTCACTGATACCAGTTGCTGATAATAGTATGCTTCCCAGGTGGCTCAGTGGTGACGAATCCACCTGCCAACGCAGGAGTCTCGGGTTCAATCCCCGGGCTTGGAAGACCCCCTGGAGCGGGACATGGCAACCAACTCCAGTATTCTTGCCTGGAAAATTCCATGGACAGAGGAGCCTGGCTGCAGTCCATGGGGTCACAGAGAGTTGGACACGATGAGCACACATGCAAACACAATACTTGAGAGCAAATATCCATATGAATAAACATCAAAACTTTGAAGTCCACATGTCTCCAGTGGCGTTTTGTATAAATAACCTGACAAGAACACCTTAAAGGTTATAAAATACAGAATAAGATATGTATAAATATAAAATATATCACAAGGAAGATATCAGATAAATGAGTAAGATTGTGAATGACATGGCCTTCTAATAATTTACTGCTCAGAATTCTGTTTCCTTGCCACACCTGTATCAACAACCCTTCTATTTGTTCAGAGCTCCTTTTAAATAATAAAGATGCTAGGAGCTTGGGATTAACATACACACACTACTATATATAAAATAGATAATTGACAAGGACCTGCTGTTTAGCACAGGGAACTCTACTCAATGTAGAGTACCCTATGTGGGAAAAGAATCTGGAAAAGAATGATATCTGTATATGCATAAGCGAGTCACTTTGATGTACACCTGAAACTTAGACCACATTGTAAGTCAACTACACTTCAATAAAATTCAAAATAAATAAGATGCTAGTGGCTTATCTAAAAAACAAAAATCAAACAAGCAAAAAGCAAAACAAATGAAAAAAAAACTCTCAATCTTGTTAATTAATCAAATAATTGCTTTTTAATTTTCCAACTTTCTTCTGCCTGTCCATCTGTTATTCCTGTTCTTTTGTGACCTGGTTTTTTCCTAAATTCTTTTTTTTTTTTCTTTCTTCCCAACCTGAGCCCTGCGGGTCCCCAGCCCCACCAGCACCCACCCAGACTTTCGAGGTCCTAGTGGGGAACAGCTGCCCCCACAGCCCTGTCAGTAAACCCTGTGTGAATCTGTGCCTCTATGCCTGCAGTGTGGGCTGCAGTGAGCAGGTGGGGGGCTGCCCCTGCCCACACACACAAGTCAGCCCATAAAACAATGAACTCAGCCTAGACAACTAGAGCCCTGGGTAAACGGCTGGTGGGGGTAGGGGTGGAATTGAGGCCAACCCACACCTGGAGAGGCCAGCGAGCAGGGTGGGGGCTGCTGACTCCAAAGTCCAGGCAGCCCCTTAGCCCCCTGCTGCTCCCAAGTCCCTGAGGCCCCAAGCAAGGAGTGAGCCCTCACTGCATCCTCCTGCACAGCCCAGTCAGGGTCCGGGGGAGGCCCACCCGTCAGTTTGGTTTTCCAGTGTTCTGAAGTGAGTCCAGGCTCAGCCTTCTGGGTCCTGACCAGCTCTTCAAGGGAGAAGCCCCCTCTCCCGGCCCAGGAGACCTTGCTGGGAGCTCAGAATGGTACCTGCACCAGCCCCTGCCTTCTAGAGAGTGGCAGGGTAGACACTGTCCCCACAGAGCTCACCCAGCCAGGCCCCGTGTACTAGCCCAGCATGCCCAGCCTGTGCCAGCCCTAGGCGACCAAATGCAGCCTTCCCTGGCAGGAGTGGAGGGTCAGCTGCATCCAGGGCTTCTCCTGGGCACAGGCCTCGGGACAGCAGCCTGGAGTCCTCACCCTACTTCCTCAGTGCCCTTGGCATCTGGAAGTCTGCCCTCTCCCTAACCCTGAGCCCACAACAGTGGCCGCAGAGCAGCCTTTTGTGGGACTTCTATCCGGTGGGCAGACCCTCACCAGGCTGCTGCTCACCAGATGGGAGAGAAATCCAGGTCCTACAGCCAGGTTAGGCCCCGGAGTCCTCCCTGCAGGGCACTGCCCCACCTCCTCCCTGGTAGGCCCCTCTCTTCTAAACACTTGGGGTTTAGAACCAGCGGGCCTTGGCATTTACTGGCCCAGGTCCTGCCTGCACTTCCGCATGCTGGCTGCACTTCTGCCCATCCTTCTCCTTCCCACTCCTGAGCCAGGAGCCTGGCTGGAGCAGGGTGAGCTGGGGGCCACCGTTCAGCCCGGAGGCACAGGATAGCTTCAGGACAGAGCCTATGCAACGGGCCTGGCAAGTGCAGCCAGGATAGAGTCAAGCTGAGGAGGTGAAAGTGAAAGCAGCTCAGCCGTGCCCCACTCTGCAACCCCAAGGACTATACAGTCCATGGGATTCTCCAGGCCACAATACTGGCGTGGGTAGCCTTTCCCTTCTCCAGGGGATCTTCCCAACCCGGGGATCGAACCCAGGTCTCCCGCATTGCAGGAAGCTGAGCCACAAGGGAAGCCCAAGAGTACCGGAGTGGGTAGCCTGTCCCTTTCCCAGAGGATCTTCCCTACCCAGGGATGGAACCAGGGTCTCCTGCATCGGAGGCAAATTCTTTACCAACTGAGCTACCAGGGCAGCACAGGCGGAGGAGACCCCGCCCTCAAAGAGCTGCAGTCAGTCCCCCTCCAGGGGGTAGACGCTGGAGGAGCGCGTCCTGATTGCAGTGAAGAAAGACACGCAGGGCAGCTTCCTCCACCTCCCTCCCCAGACAAGGCCCCGTGCCACGCGGACCAATTCCTTTAGCCTGACCGCCCGACGGAGGAGCAGAGGGCAGAGGGCAGCGAGCGTGCACAATTCATGTCGCTGAACTACGCTCTTGGAACGCCCCCCTCCTAAATTCTTTAAATGTTGATGCAAATCGTTTTATTTAAATTCTCTCTCTTACCGTGACAGACGTTTAGGGCTATGAATTTTTCTCCACCTACCATTTAAACCACATCATGGTAATCTGATGGACCCTAAACCATAAATCTCCAATAGTCATAGTCTTTGTGTCTTTCACAGCAGTTAGTGTGCCCTTGGTGAGTGCCCATTAGATGTTTCCTGTGCTAAAAAAATTAATAAATGAAACATTTGAATGTATGCTTCAGTATATAATCAAGCAAAAGAATAAAAAAAAAAAAAATGACTGTCTAGGTTGCAACACAACCCTGAGTCTTAAGCGCTGTCTCCTCACTATGGTACTGTTGAGTTTTGTTGATTTGCTCAATCACTCCCAAATACAAGTTTTTTTGGATCATAAAGTCTTAGAATCCATTATCCTTTTCTTCCCCATTTCTCAGATCCACCCTCTGCCCTGGCCATCTTTGTTTTGTTAGAATGCACAGTCCAAAAGTTCAACCACTTTGTTACTCCAAATTCATATGCCCTACTCTCCTTTAAAAATTTTTGGAGGTAAAAGTTTTCATTTTTATGTCATGAGTAATTTCAAATTTACAGGAAAAAATAGAGAACAATATAATGAACACTAGTTTGTCCACCACCCAGTTAATAGATGAAATCAATTTAAAAACTTTTTTAGATACTTTTCAAATATACACAGAGGTAGAGAGAAGGCAAGGAGAGTGAATCTCCATTTATCAATCACCCACCTTCAATAATCATGGATTTTTTTTTTTTTTTTGCCAATAAGTGGTACTGTTAACCACTCAATTGCCCAAGCCAAAAATCCAGTTACTAAATTTTAATCCTTTCTCCTGATCTCTAGCTGGTCAATACAGAGCCGTGTTAATTTTTCTCAATGTTTTCTAAATGTCTCTCGAAAACATTCACACTTCTTCATTCCCACGGCCCCTACCTACTGTGGCGCAGGCTACCATCATCTGTCACTCAGGTTACTGCAAAACCGTCCCTACTGGTTTACTCCTCTCTAATTAGTTCTCCCTCTGTAAATAATGTGCCCTCTGCTCTTAAAAATTAATCATGCAATAAAATTTACTTCTGGGGTGTGCAGTTCTATGACTTCTAGCACATGGATTCATATAATTACAACCACAATCAGGATACAGAACAGTTTCATCACCCCGACAAACTCCACTGTGTTATCCCTTGAAGTTACCCCTTCCAGTTACCCCTTCCCTCCCTATAACCCTTGGCAACTATGGATCTGTTCATCAGTAATGTGTCTTTTACAATGTCTGTGTGCTCATGTCACTCCCCTCCTTAAAATGCTTCTTCGGCTTTCTATTGTTGTAAGCCCTTTTCTAACTCTCAGGTCTCCTCTCACCACTTCTCATCTCCCATTCTCTGTCACTTTTTTTTTTTCCAGCTCAGTGTAAACTTTAAAAAAAGTTTATTTTATTGAAGTATAGATGCTTCACAAAGTGATTTCATTATACACACTTTAAAATAAATTAATAAATGCATTTTTGTGTACTATGCAATCTACTTCTTCACCAACATGAGATATGTGTTTTAATGGTTTCAGTTGCAGAATAAACATGGAGAAACATTCACATTTGGCGATAAAATCATCTTACTCAGACTTGGTCATCAATGTAGGAAAAGTAACTCTTGGTGAAAGTAACAGAAAAAAGCTGCAGAAAGTTCAGAGAGAGAAAGAGAAGGTGAAAGTGATCCAGGCTGCATGTGCTTTATTAAACTCAGGAGGAGGAGTGATTCAACTGGAAATGGCAAACAACGATGAAAATCTCGTGGAGATGGGACTGGATTTAGAAGCAGCTTTGAGAACACTTATTCTGTTTTCAAATCTGCAAGCTTTCTTCAAGACAAAGCAACAAGGGAAGTGTTACTACATTTTTGTGAAGTCTTGGAGCACCGACGCCTTCTTGAAGACATTTCTGTTAAGCCCCGCATTTGTAGCCTGAGTACTTCGTTATACTGTAGATCTGGCACTTCTGTGCTTCTCATGGATTCAGGAAAGGCATTCAGTTTCCTGAAAACCAAGAAAACAAATGCAAAAAGCTCAGGGAAAGAACCTTCTCGTGAAATTTCCAAGGTTATACATCCAGACCTCCATGACGTGGATCCTACTTACTGTGTTTTTCAAAAAGACCATTTTGAACGTGATGAAGTCATGCCTTTTCCCGAGTCTCAATTCATAGAGTTTAAGCAGTTTGCTACAAAACACATTGAACAATATACGAAAGACACGATTCTAGAGTATATCCCTGCATTTGCAAACACTGAAGGAGGCTATCTTGTTATTGGTGTGGATGATGAAAGTAGGAAAGTTCTGGGATGTGCTAAAGAAAATGTTGACCGTGGCTCTTTGAAAAAGAAAATAGAAGAAGCAATACAAAAGTTATCTTGTGTCCATTTTTGCCAATGTCAGTGCCAGATAGATTTCACAGTCAAAATCTTGGATGTGTTAGACAAGGGAGAGTTATATGGCTATGCTTGTGTGATCGGAGTGAAGCGATTCTGTGGTGCAGTGTTCTCAGGTGTTCCCAGTTCCTGGATGGTGAAGGATAAGGATGTTTGCAGCCTGACAACTGAGGAATGGCTAAGCATGATGGTAGATACAGATCCAGGTAAGATGGAAAAAAACTCCCTTCCTGTCTTTTCTCCCTCTTCAGAAACTCCAATTAAACATATTTGCCATGACTTTGAACTTCTCGCATCCATTAAACTCTGTGTTTTTTGAATCTTCAAGTATCCTACTTTCCAAAGATGAGAAAATTTGGCTGGGTGATGACAAGCCTGCGTCCAGTGTCTTATAATGGGCAATTTCCCATATCAGATGAAAAGAAAATTGTTTGGGGATGATTGCCTTGCAGTGGTGTCTTGGAACTGACTCTTGCTGTTTATTAAGATTTATTAAATTTTCAGGATTGTTGTGAGCCAGTTGTTAAACAGCCATTATTAAAAATCAAGTTATACAAACAAAAATCAAGTTATACAGTTCCATAAATTATATTTAAAACCAATGCAGTAAATAAAAAACCCAATTATTTATAATACTACATTTTAAGATGATGCGTGTGAGGTTGTTTACATCTATTGTATCTGTATGATGGAATTACTCTAAAATGATGTGTTATGATGCATGTCTCCCCGACTCTGCATTTAGTGACATCATATTGGTAGCTTGAAATTGTCCATGGTGGGAATATTTACACCATAGATACGTGCATAGATAAGTGTACTAAAAGAATGTTCTATGTACCATAGAAGAAATGAAAACAAAATGCTATTCAGATACAGAGAGTGGAGACTTATGTTGACTGGAAACACATCAAACTTCCAAATAACATCTCTCTTATGATGGTTTTGGCAACTTTCATATGCAATAAAGGCACTTGTTCATACAGGGTGAATGGGGTTTTTCTTGCTATTATGTCTCAAATCATGCCTAGACAGCCATACAATATACCCACTCATAAAGTCTTTTTCAATGGTGAAGTGATGAACTAACATGTCAGAATAACATGAATTTCCTTTCTTTGTTAAGATCTTAGGCAGCTGTGCAAAGACTTTGAATCTCAGCTGAGCCTGTCTAACAGCCCTCCTCAGAGCAGACCAGTGTACTCCAAGAAAGGTCTGGAACATAAGAAGGATCTCCAACAACTCTTATTTCCAGGTAGCAACAATGGTTTGCCTACTTCACACCATCCAGTTTCTGTGTTAGTAGAAGGGGAGATGAACTGTTATGTTTGTTATTTAAAGTCCTGAAAGTACACTCTGCAAAACCTATGTGTTCAAGGTAATGGTGCTACAAACATATTGATGATAAGTAGTTTAGAAATGAACCCTCACTGACCTCATTCACTGAGGCAGTATCACGTATAGAATCCAGGAAGATTATTGCCCTTAACGACCTTTTGGTCTTCTTCTTAAATAGGACTGATCATCAGTATTTCTGGTTATTTTTAAAAGTACAGATACCTGGCTCCACACTCCAGACTTCATAAATTAAAATACCTGAAGATAGAACCTTATAATGTTCATTTTTTCAAGCTACTCACAGTATTCTGACCCTCATCCATTTTGGGAACTTTTGATCTAGTTGAAATAGAGACACACATTGAACTAAGGGCAAATGACCGAAGTAAGGGCAAATTACCTCTACCGAATTTACCAGAGGAGTGCCAGTTATGAATATGAAGAGATAAGATTTATATCAAGATGGAACACAAAACAAACACAGTGAAGATCAATTACAGCATGCGTCAGCATGTTTGGGTTTGAAAGTGAAAGTTAAGTTGCTCAGTTGTGTCCGACTCTTTGCGACCCCCTGGACTGTAGCCCACCAGGCTCCTCCGTCCATGGGATTCTCCAGGCAAGAATACTGGAGTAGATTGCCATTTCCTTCTCCAGGGGATCTTCCCGACCCAGGGATCGAACCCATTGCAGGGGGGTGGGGGTGGGGGTCTCCTGCATTGTGGGCAGATGCTTTAACCTCTGAGCTAGGTTTAGGACAACACAAAATCATGTTTCAGGACCAAGGATAGCATCTGTTCTCATTCCTCGCTCCCAGCATGTTAGGTTTTACCTACGAGTCCGTTGCTGTCCTCTTTCTATACTTCTAGAGAGGAAAAACCACTTGATCAGCTATATGCAGTAAGTTAATGGCTTATCTGGCACTAGAATCTGATACATAAATGTCCTTTTGTTGTTATTTAGTCGCTAAGTCGTGTCCAACTCTTTTGCCACCCCATGGACTGTAGCCTGCCAGGCTCCTCTGTCCATGGGATTCTCCAGGCAAGAATACTAGAGTGGGTTGTCATTTCCTCTTCCAGGGAATCTTCCTGACCCAGGGATAGAACCCGAGTCTCTTGCATCGGCTGGCAGATTCTTTACCACAGAGCCACCAGGGAAGCGTCCTATGTATGTGGAAATGTCTATTGAGGACCTTTAAGTTAATAGATAATGATGTTCCAATTAAGATTTCTTTTTCACCTTACGTAACTGAGCTTTTTGCATTCATTTGCATATCAATTTATATTTTAATAAATGTCCACAATAAACAGTACTAAATCTAAGAATAAACATAAGCATTGATAATTATTTTTTAAATTCAATAAATTCTATTTTAGTAGAACTTATTAATGTTGAATAAACTATATCTAAAAACAAAACACTGGACTTTATGCTCATAGGGTGATAACCTATTATTCTGGTATAAAAAAATCAATTTTCCAGGAATCATACCAAACATTTGAAGAACAGACAGTTTCAACACTATGCAAATTATTCCAGAGTCATAAAAAGGGAAGATTCCCAGGTTATTTTAAATGGGAGTAACAGTAATTGTAAAACTCGACAGAGATAGTATACAAAAGGAAAACTCAGACTAATCTTCCTTATGAATGAAAATGCAAACGCAGAATTCCAGAAATGAAAGGATGGATCAACATTAAGAGAGTAATTATTATAATCCATAATTTCTAATTATAATCCACCATTTCTTCATGCAGAAAATTTTATGATTGTCCTCTTATATACTGAAAAAGCATTTGAAAAGCATGAATATATATTTTAATTTTTAGAAGACAATTAAATAGGAGCCCATAGATACTTCTTTAACATTATATTTATATCTATGTATTGATGTCTATATCAATATCCACCAAAGACCATTATGCTAATAGGGAGATATGAGAAGCATTCTATGAAATTTGGGGACAAAACCATTATGTGCACTACTACAACTTTTGTGCAGTGTTAATTAGCCAATGCCATTAGATAAGAGAAAGAAATTAGAGGGATAAAAGCTGAAGAACATAGGACCATATTCAAGAGAATCCAATGAAAACCTATTATAAACAATAGAAGAATTCAGATTGAATACCAACAGTTGTATTAACAGCACTGTATGAAGTCAGAATTAATATCACAAAAATGCAGTTTCCTAATATAACAAACAATCAAAGAAAATACCCAATTTTCAATAGCAACAAAAAGTTAAAATATCTAAGATAAGCCAATCTGAGAAAAAAGTTTAAATAATATTGAAGGACACAGAAGAAAAATAAAATGGAAAGACATGTTATATTTTTGAAGGGAAGAAAGCTGTCAATTTTCTCTAAGTTATTTTATAAACTTAGTGAGGTATCAATTTAAAAAAACCCAAGAGATTAACTTAATCTGGAGATTAACTTAACTTCATTGGAACTTAAAGTTCCAGTGAAAAAATAAGTAAGAAGAGCCAGGAAAGAAAAATCTGAAAAAGAAGAGCCACAAGAAGGGCACTCCAGATATGAAATCATTATAGAGCCTCAAATAAAAACAGAGTTATACTGACATATAATTAGATCAAGGGCACAGAATAGAAGATCTGAAAGGAGATGCAAACACATATCAGAATTTAGTTCGTGATGGAACTGGCCTCTCAACTAAGGGAGAAGAATGGGGATGTTTCAATAAAGAGACATTGGGATAACTGGGTGATAATTTATTTTTAAAAAGATTCACGATTTCTACTATATACCAACATAAGTTCTAAATCAATCAAGAATTAAAAAAAAATCAAAGCCATAAGGGTTCTAGAAGAATACATTCATGAATGGCTTTATGCTTTTGGCATGAGGATTAGAACAATCAAGATTCAAAATCCAGAAGCCATGACAGTATCCTGACATATGTGATTACATTAAAAAATTAGCAGTGTGCATGGCTAAAACAACTAAGTACAAAGTCAAAGGGCCATTGACCAGCGAGGAAAAATGTTTGCAACTGATATTACAGAGGGCCAATGTCTCTAATATATAAAGCGCTTCCAAAAGTTGATAAGGATAAAGAACAGCTTAACAGAAAAATCAACAAACATAGTTCAGAGCAAATAAAATTCAAATGGCTTTCAAACATTTGGAAAGATTCCTAATAGTAATCAAAATAGGAGATGTAAATTTAAACAAGCTATCATTTGTATCTACTGGATTGTAAAAAAGAAATCTGATATTATCATTTGTATGCTATACTGCTATTTCTCGGCATTTGTATGCAATGCTATGCAAGTCTTCCCATTCATTACTGGCAGGGATACATATTGGTACAACTATGGAGGACAATTTGGCAATATCTATCAGAAGGACAGATGCATTTACCCTTTTGCCCAGTAATCCCACTGCTGGGACTTTTAAAATTATTATTATTGTGGCCATACCACATGGCTTGTGGGATCTTAGTTCCCTGACTAGGGATCCAATCCAGGCCCTCGGCAGTGAAAGTGCTGAGTCTTAATCACTGGACTTCCAGAGAGTTCCTGGGAGTTTATACTTTATATATACCTGTGTGCACACTAAATGTCCAAGACTATGTACAAGGTTACTCATTGTAATGGGCTTCCCAGGTGGCTCAGTGGTAAAGAATCTGCCGGCCAATGCAGAAGATGTGGGTTTGATCCCTGTGTGGGGAAGATCCCCTGTGGGAGGAAATGGCAACACACTCCAGCATTCTTGCCTGGGAACTCCCATAGACAGAGGAGCCCGGCAGACTACAGTCCATAGGGTCGCAGAGAGTCAGACACGACTGAGGACCCAGTGAATGAGCGTGCACGCATTGTAATATTCTTGTAATGGCAACAAGTTGAGGCAGGAACTTCCTTAGTGGTCCAGTGGTTGAGAGCCTGCCTTGTAGCACTGGGGTTGCAAGTTCCATCTCTGGTCAGGGAACCGGGATTTCACATGCCATGGAGCAACTGGAGAATCCATGCTTTGCAATGAAAGGTCCCACATGTTGCATCTAGGACCCTACACAGCTAGGTAAATAAATATTTATTTTAAAAAAGTTGGAGCAAGCACGCAAGAACCCATCAACAGGGACTTATGTCACATCCATAAGATGGCATGTTAGACAAATGTGGAAAAAATTAAGGAAGTTCTTGGTACTTGTGTAGAAAGATCTCCCACACATATTGCTGGACAAAAAGATGTGAGGGCTGAACAAAACGGGGAAATATTTGCTTGTATTTGCACGAAGAAGTTCTGGAAAAATAGGTGAGGAACTGGCAAAAAAAAAAAAAAAAGGTCTGTGTTAGGGGAGTAGGATGGAGTTGAAGATGGAGGAAAAGAGCAAACAGGAGTAGGAGTGCTTTGGCATTTGGACTATGGGGATGTATTACCTAGTTAGAACAATTTTTTAAAGCAAATTGTCATTTTTCAGAGTCTGCTATTATTAGATTCTGAACTCTCAACGTGGTAAATAATCACCTCAGGTTCAGTTTTGCAGTGGGAGTCCAGATTCTGTGGATAAGGAAATCCACTATTGATCGACAATAGTTTAGCTTCAGATTAAACACTATAAATGTTTCTTGAAAGAAATGTAATGACTCTCTGGAGTTTTGTCTGTGCCTGGCGTTATGGGTACTAGAGAAAGTCAGGGGTGAGAGTACTGGATCAGATTCAGCCAGCCCCGAACGACCTCCATCCTGGTGTCCTAAACTGTTAGGTGCCCTCACCTGATTTCCTGTAGTTGGAAAAAGCCCAGATACTTCAGGGCTCCGTGTTTAACGATTTCCCTAGCTAATCTACTGTATAGCACAGGGAACTCTGCTTAATATTGCGGAACAGCCTAAATGGGAGAAGGTTTTGAGAAAGAATAGACACTAGACACGTGTATATTTGTGTAAAAGAATCACTTTGCTCTGCACCTGAAACTAACACGTTGTTAATCAACTATACTCTAAAATACTCTTAACATGTTTACTTATTGGACTTCCCTGGTGGTACAGTGGTTAAGAATCCACCTGCCGACAAAGAGGACTTAGGTTCGATCCCTTGTCTGGGAAGATTCCACATGCCACGGAGCAACTGACCCCATGCGCCACGACTGCTGAAGCCTGTATGCCTAGAGCTTGTGCTCTGCAACTAGAGATGCCGTCAAAATAAGAAGCCGGCGTACCACAGCTGGAGAGTAGCCTGTGCAACTAGAGAAAAACCTGTGCACAGCAATGAAGACCCAATGCAACCAAAAATAAATTAATACAGTTTTAAAAAATTTTACTTATTTAGGCTGCACTGGGTTGCAGCGTGTGGACTTTAGTTGTGGTATGCTTGCAGGATCTAGTTCTCCAACCAGGGATTCAACCCGGGCCTCCTGCATTGGGAGTGCCCAGTCTTACCCACCGGGCCACCAGGGACTCCCTAACATAAATTTAAAAAAACACATTCACACACATACACAAACACAAACACAAAAGATTTCCCTAGATCCATGGTGAGATTAGTATGGATATGAAGTTCTGTGAGAATCATGAGGAGAGAACAAACATGGGGCCTCTGGAAGGACTGGAAGGACTGAGATGTCAAAAGTAGAGGTTTTTTTGGAATTCTCTTGCTTTTTCTAAGATCCAGCCAGGTCTTAGTTGTGGCACACAGAATCTTCCACCTTTGTTGTACCATGTGGGATCTAGCACCCTAACCAAGGAATCCGCCTGCAATATGGGAGACCTGGGTTCGATCCCTAGGTTGGGAAGAAACCTTGGAGAAGGGAACAGCTACCCACTCCAGTATTCTGGCCTGGAGAATTCCATGGACACTACAGTCCATGGGGTCGCAAAGAGTTGGACACGACTGAGCGACTTTAACTTTCAAACGTAGAGGAGGGCATTTGAGTCCCAGGGCACACCTGCACAAAGGCACAGAGACCCCAAGTCACATGCAGAGTGGTAACTCCTCTGGTGCACATGAAGTGGTTGGCACTTTATTGACATCTAGTCTGGCCCCTGTCATTGATTAAGTGCCAAGTAGAATATCAAAGAAATGAAAGGGACACATTGTCTCCACATAATTTCCTTGGGAAGCATATCCCATTATGTAATTAAAAATAAGAGCTATTTGGTGATGAGGAGGTGCTATGAACATCAAATGCTTTAGTGACATGCTCCACTTAGCAGCAGGCGTAGTCTGTGTGGCTTGCAGGGCTGTGCAGTAGAGACCACGAGACAGTCTGGTGTCTGAGACAGCACCGGGTCCAGGCCTCGGCTCTGCCAATCCCCAGTGGTGTGACCATGGCCTAGGCACTTGACCTGTTTGAGTTCCCTTTTACTCATATGAAAAAGACAACAGTCAGTATATCTGCCTTGCAAAATTATTCTGTCTCTGATTCTTCCAACCAGGATAGTGGTTTTCTAAAGGAGCTTTAATCACCGTGCATAGCCCAGACTGTGACCTGCCCTTTGGCTAAAAGCCATGAAAACAACACATTCGTCCTGTGGTCATTGTTTCTTCTGGGTCTGGATCCTCATAGTGTATTTTTTTTAATTGTGAGAACCATAGATGCATGTCAACTCCCAGGTATAATCAACAAATGGTGTGTTTTCTTATTTTATACTTCTTATTTTATACTTATACTATTGATTTTATACTTCCTGTTTGGCTTCTAAAGCTGCATGTTTAAACATATCCTTATATCTTCTGTCCATCCAAAGATGCATATGGGATCTTCCTGGATCAGGGATTGAACCTGTGTCTTCTGCATTGGCAGGAGGGTTCTTTACCACTGGGAGTCACCAGGAAAGCCCTCCTCCCACCTTTGAACATCTCCAAAATCCGGATGTGTCTCATCATAGATTCCATCTCCTACTTACCACCACCCGGGTTACAGGCAAAACCAAGTTAAGCAAACATCTGGTACCAGTGAGAAAGCACCACAGCAAGGAACAATAAACAACCACCAATGCAATATGGGTAATTTCACTGGAAATCGACACTACACATCCAGATTCTAGCATGTGATCAGATGTCACCACCACAGAAAGACAACAGTCTCTTCATTCCTCCCCCGACCTCTTTGGAACAAATGATCGTTGACATAAGTTTAAAACCCTACAGGGCAAAGTTTATTCTCATGTCACAACACTGCTCCCTGCTCCCTCATGTCAAAGGGAAGACTCTTTGTTATGGATGCAGTCTTACATAGATCTGTAAGGGAGTGATGCTTCAGGAGAGTTATCTCAGAGTCTAATCTCAGCATCTCCCAGTGCAGGGCTGCATGGAGTTTCCTTCCAGTAAAGTTCTCATAGCTCCATCTTCTCCACTGATATTTAAAGACCACCTTCTTCTTGGAAGGGTTCTTCCTACTTCCATCAGTGGGGACTGTTCAGGGGCATTTTGAGATTCAGGTGCTTTAAGAGAACCAAGGGAAACAATAACTTCTCAACCAGGTACAATAAGCACATACTTTATGCAATTTCATTTATTCCTCACCATAAAAGATGTGCTGTTTTTGTAAATATGGATTTCTGTTCGTTTTACAGATGAGGGAACAGTCTTAGGTTAAGAAATTTACCAGGGTCATAAACATAATAAACACATAGGCTTAGCTGAAGTGTGCCAGACTATCAAGGCTTCTTTTTCCTCACTGTAATATAATAATATTGGCAAAAGAATGTATATAAAATATGTAATTTATAATAATTAACAAGACTACAATTTAAGTATGAGTGTTTAGCAATTTTGATTAATTACAATTAATCATAAAAATGTGACCTTTGCCATTAAATGTATAATCTTTTCCACATCTAGTGACACCAGGATGTCTGAAATACACCCCTGAATCGCTCCAGAAGGAACTGTTCTTGCAGAATGAAGGTTTGGAGGAATTAATAAATAGGCAAATAGACCCATTCTCCCAGGGAATTTTAATCCTTTCTACAAGCTGGGCTGTGGACCTGAACTTGGAAGAGAAGCAAGGAGTCATCTGTGATGCTCTGCTGATAGCGCAGAACAAGCCGCCCATTCTCTACACCGTCCTCAGGGAGCAAGACACAGAGGGGCAGTCCTATTGCACTCACGTCGCGTTCACGCTGAAGCAGAAGTTGGTGAACGTGGGAGGCTACACTGGAAATCTGTGTATCACGACCAAGGTCCTCCACCTGAGTCCCGAGAGCAGTGCAGAATCCTCGGCGGGTTCAGGCTCTGTGATTGATTACCCCAGTTCCTATCACCTAGCAGACACTCAGCAAATGGAAGCCTTGCTGCAGTCGCTTGTGATCGTCTTGCTTGGCTTCCGGTCTCTCTTGAGTGACCAGCTCGGCTGTGAGGTTTTAAATCTGCTCACAGCCAAGCAGTATAAGATCTTCTCAAAAAACCTGCGCAAGAACAAAGAGTTGTTTATCCATGGCTTACCTGGCTCAGGGAAGACGATCATGGCCATAAAGATCATGGAGAAGATCAGGAACACATTTCACTGTAAGACAAATGAAATTCTCTACATTTGTGAGAACAAGCCTTTGAAGAATTTTATCAGGTAAGCAGTTGGATCTTTTTTTTTTTTTTTTTGGCCGTACCACACCGCTTAATGGGATTGAACCCAGGTGCACTGAGCCAAAAGGGCCGAATTCGAATCATTGGACGGCCAGGGAAGTCCCAGCAGCTGGATCTTATTGTCAGCAAATGAGATTCTGTCTAAATTCACTCCACATCCCCGACAACCTGAATCACCTTGTTTCTTGAGAGCAAGATGGTAAAATGATCTGTGGCAACAATACCATGTTTGTAGCTGCTGCTAAGTTGTGGAGAAGGCAATGGCACCCCACTCCAGTACTCTTGCCTGGAAAATCCCATGGATGGAGGAGCCTGGTCGGCTGCAGTCCATGGGGTCGCTAGGAGTCGGACACGACTGAGCTACTTCACTTTCACTTTTCACTTTCATGCACTGGAGAAGGAAATGGCAACCCAGTCCAGGGTTCTTGCCTGGAGAATCCCAGGGACGGGGGAGCCTGGTGGGCTGCCGTCTCCCTGGGATTCTCCAGGCAAGAACACTGGAGTGGGTTGCCATTTCCTTCTCCACATGTTTGTAGGAGTATGATCATCTTACTCCTTTACTGACTCAAGAGAAAACCGGGATGTGTCTTTTTAATTTTCACAGGGACAAAGATATCTGCCAGGCAGTGACCCGGAAGAGCTTCATGAAATATGACTTTACACACATTCAACACATCATCATCGATGAAGCTCAGAATTTCCGCACTGAAGATGGGGATTGGTATAGAAAGGCGAAAACCATCACTCAGAGAGACACGGATTGCCCAAGAATTCTCTGGATCTTTCTGGACTACTTTCAGACCAGCCACGTGGAGGACATCGGCCTCCCTGCTCTCTCAGCCCAGTATCCAAGGGAAGAGCTCACCAGAGTCGTACGCAATGCAGATCAAATAGCCAGATACCTACAACGTGTATTGCAGAGGGTCAGGAAAAATCCTCCACGTAACATCCCTCATGAGCCCCTGAAGATGTGTCTTGAAGCTAAATGGGCTCGGGATGTTCAGGGAACCTTAAGTATTAAGAAGGACTTAACTCTGAATGCAGTAGTGACGCATGTGGCAGACACATGCAAGCTCCTCTTTGAAAGGGGCTATTCTCCCAAGGATGTTGCTGTGCTTGTCAGCACCGCAAGAGAGCTCTTGAAAGCAATGAGAAAGAAAAGGATAGTGTGTCTCACCAATGCGAGTGACATGGGGGGTGATCACGTTGTGCTGGACAGTGTCCGAAGATTCTCAGGTCTGGAAAGGAGCATTGTGTTTGGGATCCATCCAAGCACCGTGGAACCAGCTATCTTATACAACATTCTTGCCTGTCTGGCATCCAGAGCGAATCAACAGCTACATATTCTGTGGCAGCGTGACGTTTGAGAAGAATTCCAAACCAAAACAGGATGAGGCGATTTGCTCTGTCAGTATCCATGGGTGGCAATCTGACTGGTATTGGAAGAAACTTGTCTTTTCCATTCATGGGTCAGCTAGAGATTTGGGCAGAGCTGACATACAGAATCTAGAACTTCCCTCTCTGGCTCTCTCCTTTTAGGGATTCCTCCCCAAACTACTTCTGACAGCTATTGTCCCAAATTCTGACTCTGATTCTTCCGACCAGAATGATAGTGGTTTTCTAAAGGAGCTTTAATCACCCTGCAGAGCCCAGACTGTGACCTGCCCTTTGGCTAAAAGCCATAAAAACAACACATTCGTCCTGTGGTCATTGTTTCTTCTAAGTCTGGACCCTCATAGTGTATTTTTTTAAAAAATTTGTCCAGGATCTAGAGTTAATCTGCAGAAGGATGGTCTGGTTGGGACTTCTTGACCACATTAGAAGCAGAATTCTTGTTTCCAGAATTCTTGACATTTCTCTGTTTTGCATTGATCCAGGATTTGGGAGGTTCCCAAGATAGTTCAGACAGCAACTGAGTGGGTCTTAATAATTTTTGGCAGAACATAGAGCACTGTACAATTATTTAATCCTTTAAAATTGTAAGTTCCCTTTTTTTTGGTCCTCAGAATATCCTAGATCAAGCTTTAATATGATAGTAAGCATTGATTGTCACTTTACAAAGAAATTATAAGCCAACATAAAACAAAACTAGAGCCATTTTCTCTTTCAGTGAGAGCATTAGAGACCAAAATCTGCTTCTAAAGGTGCACACGGGTCATTAAGTAAATAGAACTAGGAAAAATACAGTCTTTACAGAGCAACTTCTCAACTCTGCTCTACTTAATGTTCTATAACATATAAACTTAAATTTTAAGTCAAGTATATTCTTGAACTATAATTTCCCCCTTTACTTTTATATTTTGGTGGGCCAGTCTTATGGGCTGAATGTTCGTGTCCTTCCAAAATTCACAGGTTGAAGCCCTTAATGTTAAGTGTGGATATATTTGTAGATTTGTAAGGAAGTCATTAAGGTTAAATGAGGTCATAGGATGGGTCTTGATCTCCTAAGACTGGAGACCTTATAAGAGACACCCGAGAGCTCTTTCTGTCTCTTTCTCTGTCCACACACAAACACAAGGTCATGTGAACACAGAGAGAGATGGTGGCCACTTCCAAGTCAAGAGAAGAGGCTCCAAGATGAAACAACTCCTACTGACACCACGATCTTAGATTCCCAGCATCTAGAACTTTGTGAAATAAATTTCTGTCCTTTAAGCCATCCAGTCTGGGGCATTTTGTTCTTACAGCCTGAGCAGACTAACATAACCACAGAATTATTCTTCTAACTAAAACACATACTTAATAGTGTTAGTGTTAGTTGCTCAGTCATGTCTGACTCTTTGTGACCCCATGGACTATAGCTCACCAGGCTCCTCTAACCATGGAATTCTCCAGGCAAGAATACTGGAGCGGGTAGCTATTCCCTTCTCCAGGGGATCTTTCTGACCCAGGGATCGAACCCAGGCCTCCCACATTGCAGGCAGATTCTTCACCATCTAAGCCACCAGGGAAGTCCTGCTGCTTAATAACGCTAATGCATTTCTTATTTTTCTGTCCATACAAAACATCTGAAAAATGTTTCTAGTCTAAAAAATAACCATAAAACATTTGTACAACTAATGGAAATTTAAAACATTACATGACTAATATTCCACTTATTACTAGTTCTATTCTACTCCCCTTCTCCCATATTATAAGTTGTGACTTTTTCTTTCTCCTGTCTCTGCTTGCACATGGAATTTCATCCTCTTGACTTGAAACTGGAGGCTCTTCTAACTTCAGCAAAATAAAGAAAAAGTGTTCTTTCTTTCTGAGTGCATTAAATCAGTTACAACACTGTACCAAATAGTTATCCTTGTAAATGCTGTTTCTAAAAAAGTTGGTTTTGTAAGGTCCCTGGACTTGGAGTTGCAGTATCTACAAAAGTAATTCTTTAAAAGTCTAATTCTGGAGCAAAGCCTGCCACCATGTCCTGCCCACTGTCCACTGCACACAGTGGGGTATCTCTCCAGAAACTCGCTTCAGACCTGTAAACTCCCCCATCCATTAAACCATTGGTTCTCTGTTGCTGATTCCAGCCTGTTTCTTCAGTCTTGAAGCTGGGCAAACACGGGCCTTGTAGGCCTGAGGGTGCAGTCCAGTAAGTGGTGGAGCCAACCAAGAAACCGAAGAAACTCCCACTAGTGCCAAGATGTTGGAAAACACAGGACGGGGAATGGAAAGCTTCAGGGACTGTCCATGAGCCTGTGGGGCCTGGAAGCTGCAGGGGTAATCCAGGGGTGTCTGTCCTTGCTGAAGGGGGGCCACCAAGTGATCTGGAGAGCAATGGCCTCTGATGGCTCTGCTGTTGTATCAGAGTGAGCCTTTTGTCATTGGCAAAGCTATCTTTCAAGAAGGATTTGGTATTTCTCTTGTGCCTCTGAGATGTAAATAATCTATCTGGGCTTTCTGGAACTTTAATCTTACATGAGCTCTAAAGGTAAAGAAGGGAAAAAAAGCTTTTAGGTAAACTCTGTAGAAATAATTATATTTTGGGAATGTCTACCTAAAATAGTCTCCCTAGATTTTGGTGACTTTGAAAATGAAGTTGAAAGAAGAGAATTCGTGAGTCATTTCAAACAGGATAAAATAGTGAAGTATTAATTGCTGGGCAAGTCTAAGTTTACTTACCTTTGTTTGCTTAGGAGAGGAAGGCTAAACATTAAGTTTTCCAATTAGGAAGAGCATAATTACTTGCTTCTTGGTTTGTTTTTTTTTTTTTTTTCCAGAGATTAAGATTCTCAAGGGTTAAGATTATAATCAGTCATAATTCTTGTAACCAAGTTTCTTTATCCATCACATCGTGATTGTTTGTGTCTTTTTTTAAAGACTTTTGACATTTGTTATTGCTGTACTCTGATGTTTTAGCAAAAATGCTTCATCTTCAAGAAGATTCGTAGGAAGGGCCTCTTGACCATAACAGTTCTGATAAATTTCATCTTATACTGCTGAACTGATAGATCAGTTGGTAAAGAATCTGCCTGCAATGCAGGAGAACCTGGTTCGATTCCCGGCTCAGGAAGATCCACTGGAGAAGGGATAGGCTACTCACTCCAGTATTCTTGGGCTTCCCTGTGGCTCACCTGGCAAAGAATCCACCTGCAATGCAGGAGACTGGGGTTCGATCCCTGGGTTGGGAAAATCCCCTGGAGAAGGGAAAGGCTACCCACTCCAGTACTCTGGCCTGGAGAATTCTATGGACTATAATCCATGGGGTTGCAAAGAGTCGCACACAACTGGGCGACTTTCACGGGATACTGTTGAACTGGGTAAGAACTTGAAGAATCCTAATAGAAGACCTGATGGCTTCATAAAAAGTTAACAGAAAGACTGGTTACTGAATGACCTGGTAAATATGGTTCTAACATTTATGGGTTTTGTCTGGAATGTTACTGTTTTTGATCTGTGTTTTTCAGATATGAAGAAGCTCTTTCACTCAAGTTGGGTATGATTTATAGCCATTTGGTAAACTACAACTGTGGGTAGAATTAAAACATTTTTGATCTCTACCTGTCCCTCCAGAAGTTAGAGATCCTTAGGTTCTGAGCAGCCTTCTCAGGTGGTGATAGAGACTATCTCCGGGCATATGCAGGAATCTTGATATTTTGGGGACTGAGAAATCCATCACGTATAGCCTGAGAGCAGGCCTTTGGCATGGCTTCGCTGGCTTCCAGGGGCCTTTTGGGAATTCTGTCTGAGACTCCCAAGGAGCTCTCCCTCAGTCAGTTTGGAGGAGTCTCATTGCATGGTGAGACTCTGAGTGTGGTCAATTGATCAGGCTTATTTTGCAAGCAAATTACTTTTGATGGGCTGTGTTTGGTGGAATGAGGGTAATTTTAGAGAGAACAATATTCCAGTTCTGTTAATTGAGCTCTGTATTTATGAAAGTTATTGTGCTAGCCATACTTTTGCCCTGATGTTCTGGATGGAAAGAAAAAATTATCTGGTGAAACTGTCACAGAGTAAAACTACTCATGAAGTGTGACACTGTTTGCTTTAAATCTATGACTAAAAACACATGTAGGTGCGCTTCCCTGGGGGTCCAGTGATTAAGAATCGGTAGGGGACACAGGTTCAATTCCCGGTTTGGAAGATCCCACATGGTGTGCGGAAAGCTAAGCTCGAGTGCCACAGCTACTGAGCCCCACGTGCCCCAGAGCGCATGCGTCGCAACCAGAGAGGCCACTGCAGCGAGAAGCCCACGCACTGCAACAGAGAGTAGCCCCTGCTCGCCCCAGCCAGAGAAGGCCGCACACAGCAACCCAGACCCAGCGCACTCAAAAAGCTCTTTCTTCTTTCTCAAGAAGCTGTAAAGGAGCACACACATAAAATAAGCAAATTTAAAAAAGAAAAAAGCTCACATAGGGGCTTCCCTGATGGTGTGTGTGTCAGGTGCTCAGTCGTGTCCAGCTCTTTGCAACGCTATGGACTGTAGCCCTCGAAGCTCCTCTATCCATTGGGATTCTCCAGGCCAGAATACTGGAGTGGATTGCCATGCCGTCCTCCAGGGGATCTTCCCTACCCAGGGATCGAAACTGCATGTCTTACGTCTCCTGCATTGGCAGGTGGGTTCTTAACCCACTAACCCCCCTGGGAAACCTCTAATGGTCCACTGGTTAAAACTATGCTTCTACTACAGGAGGGCTTAAGTCTGATTCCTGATCAGGGAAGTTCCACATAGTGCATGGTGTAGCCCCCTCCCAGAAAAGAAAAATTTTAAAAGCGTATGTATAATGCTTGTGTAACAATTGCATAAAATATATGGCCTCTAAAGTGTTTCCTCATTAACATAACTTCTGATCATGTTCACGAGATCTGATTAGATTTCCCTCAATATGAATGATTAGGTGAATATAAAGGAGGCCTAGGGACACAATCTGAATCTAGA